ACAAAGAGCTTCCGATCTCCATATTGTTGAGCTTCTTGAGGAAAGTGAAGGCCATTCCGCCGACAATCAGCATTTCGTTCACTTTGTCCAACAAATTGCTGATCAATTGGATCTTGTCTTTCACTTTGGCGCCGCCCAGAATGGCCAAAACGGGCCGCTCGGGTGTGTCCATCACTTTCGCGAAGTACTTAAGCTCTTTATTCATGAGAAAACCGGCGGCCTTTTGGGGCAATTGAATGCCAACCATCGATGAGTGAGCCCTATGTGCGGTACCGAAGGCGTCGTTCACGTAGACGTCTCCCAACTTTGTGAGACTGGCTCTGAACGCCTCCACATCGGCGGCTGAGGCCTTCGTCTTATTGCCGGACGCGTCCACACCTTTGCCCTCCTCTTCGACATGGAATCTGAGATTCTCGAGGAGTATAATAGATCCGGGCGTCGGGTTAGAGCACGAGGACTCGATCTCCGGCCCCACGCAGTCGTTCAGAAACGTCACGTTTTTGTTGAGAAGACGGCCGACCTCTTCGGCCACCGGTCGCAGCGAGTCTTTGTCCACTCGTTTGCCGTCGGGTCGGCCCAAGTGTGACATAAGGACCACACTCTTGGCCTTCTGGTCCAAAGCGTAGCGCACGGTATCCAAAGCGGCCACAATTCGCTGGTTGTTTGTGATCTTCAGGTCTTTCATCGGCACATTGAAGTCAACCCTAAAACCATAGACACACAGATCACGTCATCGTCAGTGGATCTAGCGTAGCGCACGGTATCCAAAGCGGCCACAATTCGCTGGTTGTTTGTGATCTTCAGGTCTTTCATCGGCACATTGAAGTCAACCCTAAAACCATAGACACACAGATCACGTCATCGTCAGTGGATCAGTGTTTAAGTGATCGGAAGATGTAATGTAATTGAATTGATGGCACAATTGCCAGACACTTACCTAATGAGCACTCGTTTGCCATTTAAGTCGAGTTTATCGATACTTAACTTCTTCAGCGACATAATGGTGTGAATGAGCTGTGATTTAGGGATCAATTTAATGGTCAAATCAATGGACACTTGTTTTGATGGGACAGACAGTGACTCAATGCCGGCGCTATCAGTGTCTCTACACTACCTCTACCTCTACTATACCTCTACACCATTTGAAGGTTAGCCCCAAACGCATGCGCGCGACGCCTATTAAATGCCTTTCAATGAGCCATACGTTTGATATAACGTTACGTTTGAATGCGAGGGGAAAGTGATTAACGATATGTTAATTAATGCCATTTTTGATCACATCTCTGCCTGTATTTCCTCCGCAAAGAGCAATAGTTTAGACAATAGTTTGATTGTCATTAAAAAATTGGTGACTAATCCCCGTCTATGAGCGCTGACTGGTGTTTGTCACACATGATAGGTATGAAAATGTTGTTTTAATCGTAACGTCATTTGCGGATTGAATGGCGATTTTAGTGCCAGAGTTTGTGTTTGAAATAACGGTTGCATTGATTTCAATGGCATTTTCAGCGCAAACATTATTGTCATGTTTTGTATGTGTTTTAAACGATTGTGTCATTGAAAGTGTTGATTACGCTTAAGGATTGTTTGCAATGTTTTGTCACTGCATTTGATCTCTGGCTCTCATTAAACACACCACTCATTAATGAGCCAAACGTTTGGTTTATTTTTATGTTTTTCGCATATCATATGGTTTTGCATTGAATGTTGAGTTTTGTGCTGACGATTGGCTCCGCAAACACACCATAACAGACATAACAGACACACACTCTCTAGTCGTGTATATAATTAACTCATAGAAACACTGGATTACAGAATATTCTTGACTTGGTTTGCATTGTTTACGGAATATTCTGTTGTTGTATTGCATTGAATGATATGTCGCTGACGTTGGCATTGATTGGTGTTATAAATAGACAGTTGTTTATCAAATCATATGTTTATGATATGAATTGCGGCCAAACTATTGCCGCAAACAATTGAAATGTGATCACAGATTGTGTTGAATGACATGTGATTGTTGTCAAGTGATATCAGAAGTGTATATAACTTAAAGTCAAATGTCTTCACAACAAAATTGGTCCCAAGACTACGCGCGAAACGCCAGTCCCGGACACGTGACCACCGAAATGATGGCACCCTTTCAGACACAGGACACGAGTGGACACAACCAGTCGTCGGCCACCGGCGGCGGGAATGCAGTTCTGCCCACATCTCAGATAGAGATGACTCTCTCGTGTCGTAATCTTCTCAATAGAGACATTACATCCAAATCTGATCCCTTATGTATCGTTCAAATGAGTGACGCCTGGAGTAACAGTTACTACGAGATCGGGAGAACCGAAACCATTATCGATAACCTGAACCCCGAATGGGTCAAGAAGTTTGTCATTAACTATAGCTTCGAAACCGTACAGAAGTTGCGGTTCGAGGTCTGGGACATCGATCCCGACCGCAAGGAATTTCTCGGACAATGCGAAACCACTTTAGCCGATATCATGGCTTATTCTGGCCGTCAGTTTGCGAAGAAGTTGACCGGAGTGTCGAACAGAGACTGCGGAGAGATTATTATTGTCACCGAAGAGTTATCGACGTGTAAACAAATAGTTGGGATGCAGTTTAGGGCCAAATCGCTGAAGAAGTTGTCGTGGATTTGCAGTAACGACCCGTTTCTCGTGTTTTCGCGCTCTAACGAAGACGGGACCTATTCTGTAGTCATGAAGACAGAACCCGTGCGCTCAACTCAGAAACCCCTTTGGATGCCCATCAATATGAGAGTCAGATCCCTATGTAATGGAGATTATGACAGAACTATTAAAATCGATTGTTTCGATAAGCGATCAAACGGTGACCACAAACTGATCGGCAGTTGTTTCACAAATCTCCGGAATCTCACTCAAAATCCTCGCGAAAACAGTTATCCGTTAGTAAATCAGAGGAAAAAGAAACACAAGAATTACACGAACTCTGGATTCGTTGAATTGGTCACCATTTCAGTCGCCGAAGAGATCACTTTTCTCGACTATATTCGCAGCGGAACTCAAATGCATTTTGCGGTTGCGATTGACTTCACCGCCTCTAACGGCGCCCCAAGAGATCCACAATCACTGCATTATCTGGATATATATGGCGGTCGACCCAACCCTTACGAGATAGCCCTTAGAAGTGTTGGCGATATTATACAGCCTTACAATAGCGCTGGTATTTATCCAGCATTTGGTAAGTTCTCCTAAATTTACAACTATTTATTGGATTTAATATTTAATTCAATGTTAACTGCCATAGGATTTGGAGCTAAGATCCCTCCGACTGGCGAAGTGTCACATCTATTCCACTTGAATGGCATTCCATCGCATCCGTACTGCAGTGGAGTGACTGAAGTTCTCGATCACTATCGCAAACGATTGGCTTCAGTCACGCTCTACGGGCCCACAAACTTCTCCAATGTTATCAATAACACGGCTTCCATTGCCCAGCAATACGAAGACGGAAAGCATTACTTTGTTTTGTTGATCATAACGGATGGCATCATCTCTGATATGATTCACACGAAACGCGCGATCATTAATGCGTCCAAACTTCCGATGTCTATCATTATTGTGGGCGTCGGGAACGCAGACTTCGCCGCAATGGATGAGTTAGACTCGGATGACGTGCGGATGCAATTGGACGGCAAGTACGCCGAGAGAGATATCGTGCAATTCGTACCGTTGAATAAGTTTGTGTCCAAAACCGGGCCATTCATTAGAGCGCAGGCAGATCTGGCCAAAGAAGTATTGTATGAAATACCACAACAAATGACTGGATATATGAGATCCAGAGGTTTTAAACCAAATATTCCAGTGCCTATCACTTCCAATAATACCGCACAAGCGTTTGATTCCCAACCCATACATCCCGTACCAAATGCACCGCCGGTTCTGATCGCATAAATTTATGCTAAATTTTTTATAATTAATTTATTAAAATTTAAACAAACGATTGAATTCTCTATTGACTGACTAAATGTTTACAATTTTATGAATATTTGCGAACAAATATTGAATTTTTATATTTCATTCTCATTGTAAGTGTAATGTATTAAACATTTAATAACTTATAATCGATATGTGATTTACTTTCTATTTCATTCAATTTGAATATTTAGAAAAGTCTTCTTAAACCAAATATTGATATAAACCAAAAACTATTGTGTTTTCTATTTATTGATTTGTTTATTGAATAAATTATTAAAACTTAAAATAACTATTTCTAAATGTTGTGCGAAAGTTGTTTTTTAAGACTAAAAATATTGACTTAATATTTCTGACATTTAGATTAGAAAATAATTGGCATAAACTTTATACCGATAAACCTTTAAGCCATAAGAATTGTCAAGTATTGCTATTTCATACAATCAGATATGAATGATGTGTTAAATCAGAGTATTAACAGCACATCTCTAATAGACGTAAGAAGTATTAATTCTTGACGTCAATTAAAAGAATAATAATAAAAAATAGGTATTTTATAAGAAATAATCTAAAAATGTTTGCAGTAATAAATAACTAATTTATTTCAATAACATATTTTTAGATTGAATTTAGCAAAAATATCTCATGACATGACATGTAAGACGAGATAGTGTCTGGCCGTAAGAATATTCTTGCATGCAAACGTGAAATGTGATCATTATTCAAATGGATAGTCATTATTATAACTGAAATTTAATTTTAAATTTAATTTTAAATGAAATATAATAGAGATAAATGTAAATGTAATGCAAACGGATGTCTGGGCTATTGTTTGACAGAAGATGATATGTAATAATACGTTAATCTGGTATAACATTACATAACTGTAAGAGTGAAGCGTTGTATTGATTGGTAAAGCAATGAAGGAGTGAATGAATGGGAGTTACAGAGAGTGAGAAACACTTGTTGTCAATACAGAGAGAGTGTCGTAAACACAGGCATAACAGTAAACATTGCCTCACATTCACTACATTTGGTCAACAAATGCCAATCCATTCAACAATTGCTGCCAGAAATCGATACTTCATTATCATTACATTTATCACACAATACTGTATTGTATTTCAATGTATGACTCAAATACACATTCATTGACAGTATATCACAACAAATACATTGTGTTTTGTGTTATGTAATCATAATTGAGATAAATGTGCAAAAAGTTGTTATATTTTTTTATTGACACAAAAATATGACAATAAATTGAATGGCTTTCTATTGAAGTGTTTGTAATTATAATGATTTCATGTTTTGAGATATACTTATCATGTGTTCATTGAATACCATTTAAGTGATTGTTTGTCCCAAATGTGGCAACGGATCCAACAGTTGATCCCAAACGACGGTAACCACGAGTGCAACAGCGGTGACGGTCTGTCATGTCTTCGCCCAATTGGTCCCAAAACTATTCAAATAACATGAGTTCTGGTTATGTGTCGACCGAAATGATGGCACCGTTTCAGGCGATGGACACAATCGGCGGGAATGCAGTTCTGCCCACATCTCAGATAGAGATGACCCTCTCGTGCCGTAATCTCATCAATAAAGACATTCTCTCCAAATCTGATCCCTTCTGTTTGGTTCAGATGAAGGACTCCTGGAGTGAGAAGTTTAACGAAATCGGAAGAACCGAAACCATTACCGATAACCTGAACCCCGAATGGGTTAAGAAGTTTGTCATCAGTTATAACTT